GTGCCGCATGCGAACAGGGCAGCTGATTGGACAGCTACAAGTATTTCGACTACGCGCTGATTGGCTCGCTGGAGCGGGTTAGTTTAACTGATTCTAAGGAGGAATCTCCTGAGTGCAGTAGCGTCGTTAGTTATGGAAATGACAGTTATTTATATCGAGATTCCTACATGCTTGTCAGGCTGTCGTCTTTGCTGAGCTCGGTTTTCTGAATAAACCGTTTGTCCCTGAAGGACCGAGTTCTGCGACCGTGAGTAGTTGTCACGGTCGCGTTAAGGCCACACTATCATTTATTATGTCATTACAAGGAAGCAGATCCCGTTATTGAAAGAGTTACTGTTAAACAAATAATTAACAACATCTAAGTTAGACAAAGTACCCGGCATAGTGCTAATAAATAGGGTGGGTTATAGCTGTTAACTACAACACCTCCACAGTGACGAACTTAAGTTCCAGAGTCCCATAGAATGAATGGACAACACATAGGTTAGAAAAGCACTGCCTGGCTGCCTCAGGCGAATGATGCAAGCCAAACTTATCACAAAGTATGAATTCGAGAAACTGAAGCAGCCATGTGGACGCATGCCGACGTTAGATAAATATACTAAAGTAGTTACCAGACTCCCATCACCTGATCTGCTCGATTTGATTTCCTTTTGAATAACTTAGCCAGTTCTGTTTCTTTCAGCAGCTTTCATTAGCCCGTAATTTTCTCCGTTCACTATATTTACCTATTTGCCTGGTGCTGTTTGCCAAAATGAGATCACTTTTCAACTGTATTTTCTAACTTTCTAGGATTGCAAAGAGTAATAAGGGGACTTGAATAGTATAGGTAGAAACCTTCAACATCTAGACTCAGTCAGACAGCTATCACACGCCCGAAAAAGCACTACACGACTGTTTCATCATTTCGGGAATCGTCAGCAGTGCGCATGTTCTCTGACCCTTGTAGGGCCAGAACCCACAACTGGACTGTTGGCAGTCTTTAATTTAGACCACTGAGCTACTGGAGATGGCAAGGACCGTCGTGGCTCTTACTAGACGTGACATATTGCAGCTCACTCTTTATGTTGGGTTATCCCCAACGTTTTTTGGCTCAACCGATGGTGATGAAGCTGCAGCCATTACGAAATCCGGTCTGCACTTATTGTGTTAGAGACACATTTCAATCCATTAACAGGATGTCTGGATTGGACTTCGTTGGCCGGTGGCCTAGTTGTCTGCGCGCCTGGTTTGCAACCATAAGATCACCGGTTCGAATCCGCTTAGGGGTGGGCGTCCTCGCAATATGCAGCCCACGAACGACTCGTGGCGGTCGGATGGCAGCGAAGCGTTGTTACGGTTTACAGCTGGCGATCTATCTTATTTAGTTATCTGAACATTACCTTGCGAACAACGGATGACATCATTTGTTTACCAGTCGCTGTTTAGAAACATTTTACTGCTCGAAACGTTGGATTACTTGGGGAAGCTGGCTCGGCGACTCCCCTTATATGCAACCTTTCCGAATGACTTGCTAAAGGAAGCATTAGTTTGCTGCATGTTAAATGGACATTTTGCCTTCAAGGACGAAATGTACCGTTAGACTGTTGGAGTGTCCATGGGATCCTCTTCGACCATCTGCTAGCCGATATCTTTAAGACGAATTTGGAACATAGCCCAATTAGAACCCACATCGGTTGGACCGAAATGTACGCACGACATGTTGACGATACCTTTGCACTTTGCGAAATTGACAAGCATGCGAAACAGTTGCCGGATCATTTAAAACGCACATTAGAATCTGCTATTCACCTGTGCACACGAACAGGGAGAATAATTATTTTTCATGGATATTGAAGTCATCCGCAAATCGGACACATAGTGTAGCAAGAAGGTACACAGAAAGCATACATGAACTGGATAGCATACTAACTTTGAGTGCATTATCTTTACGATAACAGTGAAGCTTAATCCAATACTCGCCTTCACGCTGCGCAGTATTTGCACACTAGATCCCGTCGAATAAAACCACAGAGAATTAGCGACGCCTTGGTGGAAAATATTTATCCTGACAAATTCATGAAGTACTTGAAGGAATGAAATCGAAAGTCACTTAGGAACATTGCTCCAAAGGATGAGGTTATTATAGATTTATGAGGTACTCTTCTGCTGATATCTTACCTAAGCGCGTGAAAAAGGCTGTTGCGATTACTTATTTCGCGGCCCCGTTCGAGAACCGCTTACCACAACACGTGGATGCTTAAAAACCCTGAAAAATAGACTTCTCTCGTTGCCTCGTCCCATGTTACTCTCATTACTCGCGCTCCTGTGGTGTACAGCACGTGGGTCGCACTATGAGGCGACTGTCAGAGGATTCGCTGACAAATTGGTGTGGTTTTACAAGCGTGAAATGGGGTCCACGAACCACTTAATTTTGTCGCACCTTCTTGACTATAGCCACTTCAAAATAAGCCATTCGTTGTCTTTATGCTTCTCGCAAGGCTTCCGCAAGCAAATGTAGTCAGTTACCGAGGCTGCTTACATCCATCATCTGAAGTCCTTATTGTGTGTACAAAAACGATTCATATGGCGATACAACCATGACCAGCAGCGAATTAGTTATCTGGTCCTTACTTTAGCTATTTACTTCGGAAGAATGATGTTTATGTGTAAATGTTCCTTTAGTTCAACTGACCTACCATCTATGGCGCAGTTAGCAATTTGAACACTAAAATAAATTAGAAATCAAACCCCAGTGTGATTTGACGCTTATCACACTTCATCAGTGCTGTATGCACATCTGGGTCCGGCTTAGTTTACCGAATGGAATTATCAACTGCCTTGACTTCTTGGCTTGATTCTTATTAATGAAAATAGTAGTCGTCTTGATGAAGATCAGCATGGCCCATGATCCCCTGAAACTACTTACTCCCGCACTTTCAACAGGTTGATCAGCCTAAACAACATCATAACTACGCTATCAGAAAAACAGAAAGAACCACAGAAGACAGTTGAAGGGATTGCAATCACGTTAATGCTACGAGATCCATGAAACTGCAGAGTAATTGTGGAAGCTCTCACTTTGCTATTTTCCTAGCGAGAATTCATCCACATAGGATACTGATGACGACAGAGCGTGATTTTCTTCACTCTTTTTTAAGTTAACTTGTCTCATCAATCTTGCTTCGTGCATCGCCCTGTAAGCTGCGTTGTGGCGCTTAACACCTGGGTCGATTAGCATTATTATTGAACAGATGTATTAAGTCAGTCCAAAGTACCTCAGCTATTTCCAATTCAGCTTTCACCCGCCTACTGTTATTCTGACCAAACAGGTAACTGTAATTCTCCACCTTGAATTGTCCAGAAAGGCTGTGTTTTCTGACCCTGATCAACTCCCTGTTCTTACTTCTCCATAGACAGTATCGTGTGAATACTAAGTAGTTTTCTGCCTGCAGCCTTACTGTCAGCGATGTGACCAAGCTAATGTTGATCGGTGGCTAACTAAGTAAACTCCTAACGTCTTTGTTGATTCCGTTTGGTCGATGCACTTTATACTACCTGGCAATTTAAACAGCCATTAACAACTAATAAAGCAGTCCTTAAGATCAGTCATTGGATTTAAGGGAAGCTTGATGCGTAAAACCAAGTATTAACCAATTTATGTCCGTGGGCCACATTTTGCGCACAAGTCCCTTTAGAAGCAGGTGACCTTGTAACCGTGTGGAGATTATGAGCATTAGGGATTGCTATAGTTGGCACAGGGCTTTAAGTGGGTCAGATTTAAACCAATGGACACCGGCAACGCTTCGCTGTGTACATAGGTGGAGATGGATGTGTAACGGACAAATCGATTTATTCAGTCGTTTCGATCCTACATCCCTACAGTCTCTCCCCAGTACTCGATCATCGACAGCCTATTGATCTCCCAGTTTGTTTTACATCCGATAGAGCTACCTGTCTTGCTTTTTACTCGCATTATGAACACCGACCCACTACTCAATTTGCCCATTTGGCCTACCATGATTACAGACTCCTTGTGCTCACTCAAAATAGTACACTACTTCGAAAAATGATGTGTGAATTGCCGATAATCCATCCGATACTACGGCTCAGTTACAAACTTTCAGCAGCATCATCATGCCACAGATCCAGTTCCTAATTACCTTGTGTTTCCTGGCTCGAACCCTCGTCCAGACATCCACATGTTCCCTTGTTCACATGCTTTATTAATTTCCCCTTAACCCATTCCATGTTTACCTCGTATCCTCATTCCCGGACACATGTTCATTGTCTGGGTGAGTGTGGGCTAGACCTATGTACCCAGTTCACTGTTCATTGGCTGATCGATTAACGATTGTGCACTTCGTTGTAATCCACCCTGAATGACACTTAAGCTGCTTCGCCTCACTTTGCTTGTCGGTTGACCGCTGCTGTTGTTTGGCCTGGCTTGGCAGCACGTTGCATCTGAAAGTCGAATTATTGTATACATTTGGGTCTGGATATTGTTTGAAGTTTGTCACTAACTTGTTGTCTAACCATTTGTAAATAGCACCGTGGTTCATTTCCGGCTTTCAGTTTTGGATTAAGTCTGGGTGTTAAATGTTGCTGGAGCTCCACGACCGATTTGTAGGTAACAGAGTGTGTCTGAATTACAGTCGACGCTGTGCATAACATCAGTGTCAATTTTTGTATTCATTTTCCGGTGTATAGGGTTGTGTATTGTAACAACCACTGGAACTGTTTACACGCACAATTACAGTAAGCGAAGCTAAGTTTTAGACTAAAGATATTGCAAACGATTCCTTGACTAGCGTCATCAAACTAAGGTTATGTTACTGCGACTGAGATACTAAGAGGTGATCCCATTAAAACGAAAAAGTTCACTCAGTACCAGTCCTTTAAGTGTGACGGGATTACACAAATTCTCCTTTCCTTCTGCCTTCATGTCGCCGCTTCTCTTTGCGATGACGCACTTTAAAATTCATTCATCATACACGACGTGGAAGTAAATTTTAAAGGTGATGCAAGACCTATATGACCGTAGCGCCAATATGGCCTTCTTATGGGGTACTGTAAAGCCAACATGGAAGACTGGAGGAGCAAAAGCTAGCTGTAAGGAATTGCATGAGGCTGCGCTGCGCGCGGTAAGCTGATACATTCAGATGAATGGTTATAAAACGTTTCAAGTTCCAGGGGACGATTACATATACCTTACTCAATGACATATTTGCATCGTTTACTAAAACGATGCTGACATTTACCTCCCTGTTTATTTAGCTGTACGCGAACTAGACTTAATATTACGCAGTGAAATTACAACAGTTGGAAGCTTCTGTCTTGATGTCAAATGTTCGTACGAACTTCCATCAAGCGATTTTTCTCTGTTGCTTGAGACAATCCACCTTTGCCCGTCTGGGCCCCGCTTACTAGATAGAGTTTTACGTACGGCGAACCTCAAAGTTCCACCCCATGGTGCGCTTAATCCTCAATAGGCATATATGATGGTAACTTATGAGCAGTGTTACACGGATTGTCAGTCCAACTGTGAATGACGATCAAAGTAGCGCATTTCGGTTGGATAAAATATTCGATCAGAGACTTGTAACAGGCGTAACATATCCGTTCTGTTATACATAAATTTCCAATTTACGTCACTTACCCTGCATGGTGTTCCATAATAACGACAGAATTCTATGTCCGTTTTAGTTTTTCCTATACAGATATACTAAGTGGGTGCTTTACGACTTATTCAATGCAATAATTATACACTTGCGAAACTCACTGTCCTCTCCTCATACGACCCTTTGCAGGCTGGATACCATAGCCAAGTTGCTTCACTCGCATCCACTAAGGTGGGATTTTCATAGACAGATACACCATTCCAGTGCATTCGGGAATGAAATTGAGGAACCCGACTTCTCGTATTCGGAATCACATCTTCTTTGGAAAAGGCCGACAGTCGCAGTTCCCCATGGCATTTATTCTAGATATGACAACGGTGCTGTTGTTGGATGGAGGAAACCACAAAATACGGTAAAAATGCTGATTTACATGGGCAATTCTGTGTTGATGAGATTGTTGCTCGGACTATAAACAGTCTCTAGCATAAGCTCATAAAACGACTGAAGTTGGCTGCTTGTCCTTCTCGATACTAACCTACGAAAGGCACCTTCAGTGTGCCCAGCTATCTCTGCACTAATGGTACTCAAAAATCTTGCGAATCGATATTTAGATCGAGTTGTCGGATATTAGGGGCAAATACTACTCTTCTCCGCACATGTGTAGTAATTATTAACTACTCTGCTTTAGAGAAGTCACCTATCCTGCACTTGTGTTGCACCCTTTTAAATTAGTGGTTAGTCAATGTTTACCAGGAACCAAGTGCCAAGAACACATAAATCTTTCTTGCCAGCGAACGGGTTATCAGGCTAGCATACGAGCGTATGATGGACATGTTAATCCTAAAACGTATTACACATTCCCTTCTCGCTCATCGTCACATGAATGCCCTGATTGGCTTCAATCTGCTGGGTCCCTCCCTCCGGTTTACGCTCGAATTTGCGATACCGCCTGCCATATTCTTACAGGACTAGATTCGTTCTAATGCCCTTGATTAGCTCATGCATGCTTCTACTTCTCTCCTTGGATCTATTCCTGGAGGCTTGAACAAATCAGGCGCTCCACTACTACGGTCCCCTTTCTTCTCGTCTTGGACCCGATATATTTTCTCTTTCGTGAGACATACCCAGCCTGTTCCGTAGTTCTCAAGCTGCTTTGCCGAATTTCTTTTCCGGCATTGAGGTTAGTTTCCCTTTTCCCATGCTTCCATGACGTATCCTGCTCGCCTGTGATTCTTACTTTCCTCGTCAGCATATTCGGAAGCCGGTTAAAATTCGTCATAGAAATGATGTTACTGTTGTAGTTGTCAGTAGAGTAGTTATTAACGGAAGTGTTGTGACTGCATTCCACGTAAGCAGAACATTTTGCAGTCAATAAGCTAGGTAGGATTTGACGATACAAACAATAATATTAACACGATTACTGCAAATGCGAGCGGTTTTGGATGTGTGTGAGAGTGCTGTGTTTGTTTCTGGTCTGGGAACTCTGTGCCGTCAGACAGGTGGCTTATTCAACGCAAATTTGTAGCACCGTATTGATGGTGGATTAGCGAAAATCCGTCGTTTCAGAACGAGAGCCCGCGTGTGCGAGACAACCATTCGTACGTAGCTATTTGCCCACGGCTATGCGTCGCCTGCACACAACGCGCATCAGTTGCAGCACATCGTTACGGATTTCATTTCGACAGCGGCCGAATTCCGGATCACCGCCAAAACAAAAACAAGACTGTTAGTCGATTTCAGTTTTCGCCAGAAATGGAATTCTGTGGCCTATTGCAACTTCAGCTTGACACCGACGTTGTGGAAACCACCTACCGAAGAAGACTACTGTCTTTGGAAATTTTGACCACCGCATTTGAAGGAATCCTCAGTTGACCTTTGGTAGAAGCTGTCGGTGTACCAGCCGATAGTGTTGTCCGTTCTTCTATTCGGCAGCGACATCTGGACGATGTACCGGGAGCGCATCCGATATTCGAAACGATTTCAAAACTGGTGTCTGCGTCGGATTCTGCGTATCGGCAGGGGTGACCAAGTTGCTGGTACAGAGATACTCCGTTCAGACGGCATGTATACAGTGCACTGCATTCTTCTGCTTCGGCGACTGATGTGGCTGAGGTCTATCAACTGCCCAAGAAGCTTCTAAATGGACAATTTTTTGCAGGTAAGCAGCACGAGTGAAAATCAGGCCATGGTCAAAGTGAGTCAATCACAAATTAATGTAGATTTTAGGTGTTGGAAATCAAAGGCAGTTAATTGGCGCTAAAGCAAAGGCTTATCAACTGCGTGGTTGCTCAGGTACATTAGAAGTCACTGTTGCATGTAGAAGAGAAACCTCGGTTAAGGAAGCGTGAAATGTCGAATGGTTCTAGCCCGTCGATGTCAAGCGCGCGGTATTGTAGCATATACGATGGCGAATTCGTCAGTCAAGCCAGTTTGGCAAGCCACCATTGTGGGCAATTGTGATCGAAGAGTAGGAAAAGACAACTTGGCTGCATTGCTAATAATCAACTGCCCAGTTCATAGTAAGTACGATGCCACCCATTAAATTCCTTTTACGAACACAGGTCAATAATGCGTTTGCGAAGGCACGTGTGTTACACCACTGCTGCAGTTTATCTGTTCGGTGCCTGCGTGTTTAGTTTATTACATTCCACGTGTTGCTATCATTGGTGTAGCTGAGCTTGATGTGCATGTTGACAAGGTGACTATCTGCCTAAAACCCTCCACCTCGATTACTTGTTACAGGAGAATGAGAATCGTTACTGGGGGGGAGCAGGGTTCACGATCCTCATGGCCGTGCTAAACCTAAAGAGTGCTCCCATGCAGGGGAGAGTGGGCTTGGTCCCAGCCACTGTCTTGTGTATGTCTGGTACGCATACTTTGCAAATTGGATTGTAATGCTGCTGCTGTATATGTTGAAGGAGTGTGGGCCGGCTTCGTTGATGAAACGTGGCTCCTAACCACATGCCTCGCGGTCTAATTCCTTCTGGTTTGCACTGGATCTGGATGAAGTGCAAACCATTCATTGTTCCTTTGTAGCCGCAGTTGTCCTGAGGCTTATTATTGAGGTCGCGAGGATGCGCACTTCCGAAATCGGATGCCTTCAACTATACCACCCACCAATACTCACCTCATATATAGACATACGCGACCGAATTCAAATGTTCCCAAAAGTTTCATCAGCTATGGTACGGTTCAAGCGGACTACTCTGATGAACATGTGGCTCGCATAAAGTACATCGAAGTTTACCTGAATGGGTAACAAGTGCATCTTCAGCAAAATACACCCTCGGACATCACAATTATCTCCAGCAAAACTTGGAAGTATATTGGTGCTGCGTCAATCAGCCGAACGACTCATGTTGCACTTAACAATTAAGGAGGTCAACTTGATCTAATTGGTGAGCTGCAATGTGAAATGGTATTTGGTGCTGCTCGGGCAAACGGTGTCGTGTACATTACCGGACTGTCACATTTGAATCTGCTTGGACTCGACTGGATACAGAAGCTCCACCTGTTCGATATTCCTCTGAGTCAAGTCTGCAATGCCCTCCGGCTTGGAGATACGAGGCACTCTTCGGAAGGTGACGAACCCAACAACAACCTGATCGAGCAGCTACGAACGAAATTCCCGTCTGCGTTTCGCAAGGACTTGGAAGATGCACAAAGACCAAAGCAATCGTTACCCTCAAAGACGGTGCCAAAGCGGTATTTCGATCCAAAAGTACGATACCATACGCTGTGCTTCCGCTTGTTGATGCGGAACTTGATCGTTTGGAGCTGGCCGGTGTCATCCAACCTGTGAACTATTCAGCGTGAGCAGCACCTATTGTTGCCGTCAAGAAGACCAATGGAACCGCTCATATCTGTGCTGACTATTCTACGGGATTGAATGCTGCTTTGAAGATGTACCAGTCCCCCTTCCAGTCCCAGAAGATTTATTTGCTAAGCGCAGTGGTGGCACTTACTTTGCAAAGCTAGATTTATCAGATGCATATCTTTAAAATGGAGTCGACGATGCTTCAAAGGAGTTGTTGGCAATTAATACGCACCGAGGTCTTTACCAGTTCAACCTTTCGCCGTTTGGTGTCAATCAGCTCCCGCCATTTTTCAACAAATTATGTATACGGTGTTAACTGGGTTATCAGGAGTCGCAGCTTACTTGGACGACATCATAATCAAAGGATCTACCTTTCGAGAGCAGACGGAAACACTGGAAGCAGTTCTCAACCGGGTTAACGACTACCGTCTCCACTTGAAAGCAGGAAATTGCAATACCGGCATGAAGTGTGTAAAGTATCTTGGCTTCATCATCGACAACGATGGCCGTCGTCCGGATCCTCCCAACATAAGTGCCATAAAACAGATGCCTCCCCCTGACAATGTCGTGAAGCTCAGATCATTCTTGAGGTTGATCAGTCATTACAGATCTTTTTTGCCCGGCTACGAGAACCGCTCAATGAACGTCTGGTAAAGCATAGCAAAAGTGTGTGGCTTCCTGAATGTCAAGCCGCATTTGATAATGTCAAGTCCATACCATGTTCTGATCTATTGCTAACGCAATTCAATCCGGAGCTGGAGATCATAGCTGCTGCTGACGTGTCAGACTACGGAATTGGAGCAGTCATATCCCACATTTTCCCCAATGCTACGGAGAAAGCTGTGGCACATGCAGCCAGATCACACCCTCGCGGAAGGCCACTGTGGGCAGATCGAGAAAGAAGCTTTGGCTATAGTGTTTCCAATCAAGCGATTTCACAAAATGCTCTATGGAAGAAACTTCACGTTGTTCACGAACCACAAATCCTTGGTCGCCATTTTTGGATCAAAGAAAGGCATTCCGGTCTGCACGGCCAGTCGTCTCCAACGCTGGGCAACTGTTCTACTTGGTTACGATTTCGTCGTCAAATACCAATCTACACACAACATTGGTCAAGCAGATGCGTTATCTCGTTTAATTGGTACACAGCATCAAGAATCAGAGGATTTGGCAGTTGCCCAAATCTCTGTAGAACCCTAAGTACATCAAGTTATGTCTGACATTTTCGGTGTTTTACCAGTAACATTCGAAATGGTGCAGGAAGCGACCCAGCATGATTCTACCCTACAACAAGTGATTGAGTTCCACCTCAATGACTGGCCTAAGAGAGTTACAACGCCGGAGCTTCAACAATTGCACCAACGGAAGGAAGCACTATCAGTCATCAGAAACTGCCTGCTGTTCTCAGATCGCGTCGTCATTCCACACATCCTTCAAGAGAGAGTCCTACGACTATTTCATACTGGCCACCCGGGAATGAATCGCATGAAATCGATGATACGAAGCTATGTGTATTAACGCTATATGGATTCCCAGATCGAGAATTTAACGAAGAATTGTCCCCGATGTGCCACTGTATCTAAACAACTAAGGAAGACGGAATTGCAATCCTGGCCAATACCAACGGAACAATGGTCAAGGACACACGTCGACTTTGTGGGTCCAATGGACGGTAACCATTTTCTCATCGTTGTCCATGCCCACAGTAAATGGCCGGAGGTGATTCCAATGGTGAGAACCACCGCAGCAGCCACTGTCTCTACTCTCCAACAGATACTTTCTCGTTTCCTTGTTCCCCACATGTTGGTTTCGGACAATGGTATACAATTCACCTCATCTGAAGTTGTTGTCTTCCGTCGCAGAAACGCGATCGTCCATGTAAGGTTTTCACCTTTCCACCCACAAGCAAACGGGCAAGCACAATACTTTGTGGATACACTCAAAGGAGTTTTGCTAAAAATGAAGGTGGAGGGCACCTCGGAGGAGATGCTTGACATATTTCTTCTGACGTATCGCACAACTCCGAATCCGCAGACCCCGAACGCACTATCTCCGACTGAAACTTTGTTTCAAAGGAAAATCCGCATGCCGCTTGATGCCCTCAGACCCAGGTAGGATCAGTTACTGTACCACAACTATCAGATGCAGCGTCAATTCAACATCCGACACGATGCTCGGAAGCGAACCTTTAAATTTGGTCAACAAGTTCTGGCTATGGTTTATCGCATCCACCATCCTAAATGGTCTATGGGACTTGTGATATACAAACGTGGTAACGTGATCTACTGTATCAATTTGGGACGGCAATTTGGATGACATGTCAATCAGCTGTTAGAGGTAGGGACTGGTGAACAACTGCAAAAACAAGTACTAACTGCGCAGTTACCTCTGGACATACTGGGCGATGCAGGTGAAGCGAAGACTCCCTGATATGCCCCAACACAGCAGCCATAACATTCGCCCTGAAACCTAGCAGCACAGAGGCCAAAGCGGCGACACGAATTCATGTCTCCCATGCAAGGCAACCCCAAGCTGAAATCGTAAAACACAACTCAAAAGGGAGAAAGTGTTAGAAAGGAATACGCGATGTGAACAATGCAGGACCCAATCGCCGCGACAGGCAATCCAAAATCATCCGCCCTGATTGGGGCGAACAGAGAGCCAACGGGGGAAGCGGCCAAATAATGCGAGGGCGGCGTTCCTTGATTTGCTGCAACTTGACCTTTCCAGAGCTTACCACGTTCGCTTTAAATACCATTCACGAACTTACCATTTCACCTCTATAATGAATGGTGTGATTCGCTAACATATCCCTGTTGCTCTGCTCGTCCGATGTGGTCTTCTCTCTGTCCTGTGAGGGGCCAGCGACTTCGGGTTTTGATTGGGAATCAAGCGTCCATTCAGGAGGGGGATGAACACTTCAACCTGCACGCTTTAGGAGTTCCACCTGTTTCCGGTGGGCAATTCGATGCGGAGCTGCAAACTTGAAGCCGTGTATCATAAGGGAATTATTGGCTAATAACACTATTTCCGGTGACCTCCAAGGTCAAAGCTCCGTTTTCTCTAAGACAATCTGGGGGTATATGTAAAGTAGCAAAATCGGCGCTCCGGATTAGCACGGGGTTCACGAGAACCCGTCACGCACCACGAACTTACTGATAGCTCGAGTATACTGAAAGAAGTCTGTGGATGCTGGTGAACCGATGGATACCCTCTATATGGATTTCTCAGCGGCTTTCTAGATCACAATCTTAAGAACTATGGAATAGATCTTCCAGTTATGAATTGGATCGGTTAATCTTTTGTTAAATTCTCATCTGAATGTCAGGCTTCGCAATACTCTATCCGACCCGATTGATTTCCATTGCAGCGTATTTCATGACTCGGTACTCAGAGTTCGCATGTTCCTGATTTTGTTAAATGACCTCGCGAAGGTACATTCCTCAAGTTTTCTATAGTTATCGATGATTTACATACATGGCATGATATCACAGAAATTTCAGCTCACACAGATGTGCGAACTGATCTGGGTATATCTTACAAATGGTCCCACTGGAATATACTTCAGTCGGAAATGGCTAAACGCTAATTTCTGGGCGTATGAGGTCAATTCACTCACGATTACCGGCTAGGGCCACAAATGCTACTGCGGGGTACACGTGAGTGCGATATCGGCGTACTGGTGAAAGATGACATTGGCTGTCTAGAGCTGACCGAAAGGGCATCCAAGAAAGCAACTCAACACTCTGACCTCCGGCGAGTGGCTTTCGCAATGGTTGGTGCCTCAAGCTTTGCGCAAATGACTTGTTTTTAAGCGAGATAGCATGTGGAATATGCTATCCAAATGTAGCAGCTGTCACCTCAGCGCTCTCAATACTAAACAATGCTGAGCCCAAGGTACGTTACTGGTTCGCCCACCGTCTCCTACGATCTTAGACTCAAAACACTAAGTGTACAGTGGGTTAACTCTGCGTCCAGATCCAATAACATCAAGTACACTCAAAACCGTCATTCGAAACTAGCTTAACACTGATCTGTGGGCCATCAGTTCAAATTGGCTGCGCAGTACAGCCGACTAGAATGTCAACGAAAATCGCTCTCCCTCGGAGTGTCAATGTACTGCTAGTCTAGTTAAGTACTGTCGAACACTGGGGTGGGTGGTATAACCGCTAAACCATACTGATTTCGCAGCACTGCTACGTCATTTACACTAATAGAAAAATATTAATAATGCTATATTTGGTTATATAAGTAGTTCCGCAGCCAACTCGGTTTTGTATTTCTAATGATATGGTAGGTCTTTTTCTCAGAATCGCTCAGATATTACTGTCAATTTCTGACAAATAATCGCAACTAAATTGGAGTAATTCATGCGTTCATCGTCCTTACAATACATAACAAGTTTACTCAACTCCCCTGACCTTTTATCTCCCTTTATTCCAGGCTTTTGTTCGAGATCCTGATTTGCGCATGCACAATTGGTTGCGGAAGCGCATCTCAATCTATCGAAATTTGATGTCGCCCAAACAATGGAAACAGTTTTTCTCAGAATCACTTCCAGGCAGCCGTGATGAACGATTCAATTTGGCTCTCTTTGAGGCGGCAGTCATAGGCGTCAGGCGTGCAGTTGCTGAATGTCGATATCAGTTCCGGATGGAGCGCTGGAACTGCAGTCAAATTCCTAATGAAGAGTCTGTTCTCTTCGGAAATATTCTACTTAAAGGTTTGTTCAGCTTGGTCAAGGAAAATCTACGCATATCTACTCGAAGGAATCTGTATATTAACTACTAATCCTGCAACGCTAAGCGTATATTACGGTGACATCACAGCATTTTTCTCTAGGTTTGGCTCAATTGTTACTAGATCTGTGGGGGTTAGTCAACATTTTATCTCGAACTGCATCCACCATTCCACAAGTGAACTAAATGCGCGGATGAAATCCGACCTTTTGGTGAGTGTGTGCATCTATCGTGTATTGAAGCTTCGCTTCAAGGTCCCAGGACTAACGAAATGAAAAAATCAAATACCATATATTTTGTACATAGGTGAGCTAAATAGTGGACTAATTATTATCCAATGAACAATGAGTTATCAGGGGATAAGTGCAAGTGCTTGACATGTCCCGTAGGATGCTTGGAGTGAATATGATGAAACCGAAATATATCTGAGTCATCAACCGAACGTCTGCCTAGATGAATGCTTCGATAAATTACATCAGTGTAAAATTTAAAAATCGAGCGTAAACGTTCAGAAAAACACTGTGGTGCAGTGATCGTTGATGTATGGCGTGAGGAAAGTAAAATATGTTCGCTCACTTGGGTCCATTTGATATATAAATTCAGTTGAAAAGCATGCTTGGTGTAATCCACTATAGAGTGGTTTAGGTAACAAAATGCTGGGAGCTAAAAGCAACATCTAATCGTCTTTTGTAAACGTCCAAAATAGGAAAGGATATAACTGAGTTTGGGCATGCGTTCCAGGATTGGCAAACCCGAAGTGAAAAATGACTCCGTCGACACTCTAGACGGCTATATTGTTCCCTCAATTTTAAGCAGTTACCCCTGAGCTGCGTGTAATCATATTGCACTGTGAAACCATAAAATCACAATTATTTCTCAAAATAGGCTGTCTAAAACCATACGAATGTAAGGCTAGCGACGCGCTTTCAATTAATCTGAAGGACGAGAAAATCTTCAGTGAGACAAGATGTGACAATGTCTAGTAGCTGGCTATAACACTGGTGTGGTAGCCACAACAGTATCGAAATGTGATCATGCTTTAGTCTCGAATAAATCTTAGTATACTTAGCGACAACAGACGAAATCTAATTGACCGAGCAGTGCTGTACTCCGAAATAAATACCGAATGGCTTACTTTGGTCAATGAACAAGTATCGAGGCTCTTGGGGGAAAAGCGGGATGATTTACATAGTCAATCACTGAAATTCGGATTGTAAACAGGGATAATCAAAGTATAAACTAACAATAGTCTCCACCCTCATTATCAGCGGTTGAAAATCAGTGTTATTCGTAGCTTTAAGCAAAATTATTGCAACCTCCACCAATCGCCTGGTTTCATGTCTAAGCACAGATAGTCAAAACGACTTAACGAAGGAATCATAAAAAACCAGTGCTTGTCATCATGCACATCAGTGTAAGTCCGTGCACAGTGAAATTCACATTTGCAACAACCACTTGTCAAATCGCTCCTTTAAGGAAAATAAACAATAATATAAAGCGGACAAAAAAAGGAAGCGCTCGCGGAGCCCCATAGGATGCCTAAAGGGAAAGCTACGAAATCAAGCTATATGTGAGTCGTCTGTTTAAGCGTTTATGATGGAAATGCGCTGCAGAATAACAGTACGGTAAAATAAGAATTGAATGCAAACATACAAGATAACATGTGAGGCAGTTATGGCTGACCTACTAGATAAGAAAATTGAATACGAAACTACTCAATCATGTACTGCACCCCGAAGTCAATGTTCTACGTAAATCCGGTATGAAGGCATGATTAATATATTCAAAAGTAGCGCGGTTTAAATAAAGAAATGATGGGAGCCAATTGTAACATCCAATCGTTTTTTTTGAAAATATCCAGGTGGGGGAGGAAACAACTGTGTTTCGGAGACAATTCTAGGGTTGGCGATTGGGTGAGTAAAGTAAATCCGTCAAGATTCTAGACGGTTGTATTGTTCACTCAGTTTCAGCAGTTACCTCTGAAGTTGGTGTTGTGGCTAAGTTTCCTCAAATGAAGACGAACGTGGTTGGGGTCACTCAGTATTTGGTGCACTAATATGAAATCACCGCGTAGGCTTCGATAGCGTCAGCAGAAAACTCCCAGCAAAGTCAGCCTTTGTTGTTAATGGAGATTGCAAAGATCTTTGACTTTTCTTCTTGCCGTGCGTTGTGGTGTCACTAGCAGCTGTAGATCACGCTTCGACGAAGGTTATCAATTTTGGGTAGCGTAGTCAATGTGAGGGTGCACGTAGATTTGGTGCAGCATCAGGAAAATGGAACAGTCAAAACTTCCGAATGCCCTACGAAGCATGTCAACGTGTTGGCTGCTTCTCCTAGTAGTCGCCTCTGCCTGTCCTGAATTGCTGAAGTCAATCTGTAAGAGCACAACAAGGTTACGTTCCTGTGAAATAGTTTGCAACATGTGTGATCCAAGCCAGCAAGTATAGTCATGCATACGTCGCAGTTGAATAATGCCATTTTGTTTTTACCTTGAATGGTAGGTCATTCTGAACTGACCAGCTCGAAATTGTGGTAGGGTCGAACTCGAGCCCTCCGTGGTTGTCCAGTTTCCTGATTGCTCGCCAAATATTGATATCCTCTGCGAAGAATGGAAAAGCAAGTAAATGTCCTCTCTAGATCGTCTATGAATGCCCTGAACAAGTGAGAACCTAACACTGAGCCTTGTCTTACACCGCACTTCACCTCTATTGCGTCGGTCAGGTATTCTCGGACTCCCACTTCCAACCGACGTTCGCGCAGAAAATCGCCTATCCAATGCAGGATTGGGTCGCCAAAGCCATAGTACTAAACTTCACAGAGGAGAAGTCGGTGGTCTAAGTGATCAAGTGTCTTTGAGAATTCCGGGTAGATGACACATACTACCGCTACACCATCGACTGCTTCAGTCCAGCTACAGCCTGAACTTAACAAGTTCGTGGTATATGTGATGTTTTGAAGGAAGCCATGTTGCTCTGGGGTTATGGTATTGTGCACAGGAGGCAGTGTTGTCAGTCGGTAATTGGTAGGGCCATGCGACAACCGATTGAATATTCGTAATGACCTCTTCTTTTCCATGTTACTAAGTTTGGTCCTCCTCTAGACAACGCTGACAGAAAATAGCCAGTGGTTCTACCATGCAATTAGCTGCTACCTGTCGAGTCTTCAGCCGAATATTATCAACCCCAAGAGAGCGGTGGGTACGCAGTGACAGTAGATTTTTCAACACAGTTTCTGCAGCAAATATGATATTAAATAAATCCGACGGCGGGGTACTAGAAACAGGGATAGTCGTTGAGCTCGTTACTCTCTGGAAAATATGCGAGTAATGGAACTGTAAGTTATCGGCTGCTTCCTTTGCTGATCACGTGTACCCACCAGTAGTGACCAGTGCTGGAATTCCGCGCTGCACCTTATGAATGCCATTAACTTGCTTGCGTAAGTGTGTGAGGTTCGTGTAGGATGATTTCTCTAAACGCTGACGCGTCACCTTGACTACCCTGATCAATATCACGCAAAAATTACACTGTGACACATATACAGTCCAGGTTTCGACATTCAGGTAGTCTTTATGAGCTCACCATGCCCCGTCACTTTAGCGCATGAATTTACGCATTATGTTCATTAGAAATGACTCGCTTTGCCTCGACTATGGAATAAGTTTAGTACTACATGTGCGCCACCAGTGTGATAAATATTCTTGTAAACGCATCCAAGACGACATTTGGTGGTATACATTTAAGCAGGTTCAAGATCTCTCCTTAACAAGCGTGGATAAGGCACCCAACTTCACTTTCTCTTCCTCTGCTTCTTCTTCGTCTTCAAATTATTCCCTTGAGCACATAAGCTGTTCGAATTACGCAGGATCTGATGGGGTCCCTCCGTTCTCATTAAAAACCGGCGGAGGCAACTTGCTTCTGCTCTTGCTCAACATCACTACGCTTTCTATTAAAAATGGAACATTTTCCACTAGATTAATGACCTGTACTTTTGTTCCATGTCACAATAATCGAGTTGCTTCTGAGGCTAACCTTTTCGCCTATCCCGTTTCTGCACTTGTACAAATGCACCTGACACAGTGCCTCGTCGGGTGTTACCTAAGAAGTTGAAGGCAACAAGCGCTGGAGAGCCAGTGCTTTCTTGGTGGTCCTCATATCTATTTGGTAGACGGGAAGTGGTGTACATCGATTATCATTTCTCTAAACCGAATGCTGTCACCAGTGGAGTAATTCAAAGGAGTGGTTTTGAGCCACTTTGCTCTCTCATCTGTTTGAGTGCTACACTTAAGCGTTTAAGGCATAGTGCTACTTTTCTCTTTGCTGGTGATATTACGGTAGTCCACCCATAAGAGTGTGCACATCCAACGGAAGCCGTAGGTTTCAATCAAGCTGACTTAACTGCGCTTTAATCCAAACGCTAACTGTGGCATATGAGATTTGCCATTGACAAGTGTAGTATCCAGCCGTACAAATTCCCAGACCGCCAAATGGTCATAATACAAGGCACATACACCTCGTAGTACGGAGCAGTTCGCGACTTGGGCGTGTGATATTCTGTCATCCTCAACTTTTCCAGACCTTGTGACTTCTGAGTTTCGAGGGTCATGAAGACAATGAGATAAATGTGCCATCATTTTTATCTCACGGAACATCATATCTGACCTTACTTGACATAGGTAATACCATGTGTGTACTACTGCTTATTGGTACATTCAAATCGGCCAATATCTGACTAGCATGTTCCTGAAGACATTGAGTGGCGGATGTTTGTGAGTAGTGTAAAGTTCGAAGAAAGTAGAAGCCACGATTAAAATGCACGCACAATAATATGCCTCGACGGGGAGTCGAACCCCGGTCCACGAATTTCCGGTCCGCTGCTCTACCACTTGAGCTACCGAGGGCTGACGATTAGGTGCGCAAATTTTAACACATGTCTTCTGCTTGGTGCGCGACGTGTTGCCAATAAGCTCACAGTACCTGTCCTGATGTTGCAGATTGGCTCACTCACCCGTCACTTCCTAACAGACCGAAGTTCCTGTCCTTCAGACGTCCAATGGGCGATGGTAGATTGATGGTGGATGTTTGTGAGTAGTGTAAAGTTCGAAGGAAGTAGAAGCCACGATTAAAATTCATTCGTGGACCGGGGTTCGACTTCCCGTCGAGGCATATTATTGTGCGTGAATTTTAATCGTGGCTTCTACTTTCTTCGAACATTGAGTGGCGTTGCATTAAAATTTAAACGCTTGACTGTTAGGCTTTTGAGCTCCTGCGCGTATTCTTCAAAGATGAACTATAACGAGCATTGTGATAAGCTTGGACTTGACCCAATATGGCTTTGGAGAATGAAGCTGAATCTGTTTTCTTTACCGGATCATACCAAGTACACATTTTTGATAACTTATTTTTTAACACTAGTTGCTCGATGCGCGTTAAGGAGACAAAGGTCATAATTTCGAGCTTCACCGCTAGAAATAGTTAAGGCTTTCTTCTAATCCACTACTCTCAGCTTTGGAAGGGACTTCAAGATATACAACTACCTGTTTCACATTGCGTAAATTTATTCTTGCGATAAACAAGAAGTTAACTGTTTAAGACACAGTAAATATGTTTGGGATATCAGAATCTCTGAACAACGCCTTAGAGAACGATATCGAAGGCGCATAACTAACTTACGAACAATGCGCATATCCGGACTAAATGAATCGCAGCATATAAAGTTTTGGCCTAATACATTTGTCGTTTTATCTTCTTCCCGGAATGATCATATATCGCGTGTTTCTGATAAATAAATGTTTATCGACAAAGCAAAAGTCAGCAAACCAATGGGATTAAATTTTGCGGCATAAACTTGAAACTTTTGCCCATATTTGTCAAATCAGTTATATAACGAAAAGCTTTTCGCATCCTCTTGGAATATGCCATATATTTATTTACATAAGCCTGAATTTTCTCAGACATTATTTTGCCCAGTTCTGCTCCATCACACGATCCATTTGACGGTTGAAAGTTGACAATACGCCAAGTTATCGATAAGCTTAGTGAATGTCCTCCAACTGCCGGCTGGATTTATTCGTAAAAGTAATGCGAATTCCATTCGGCCGGTGCTTGGATTCGTGTGTTACTTGTGGGATAATATTGATTTGTTGCATCGGTGTGTTGTTTGGACTGTGATCGTCTACTCTCAAGTAAGCAGTTAAGTATGTGGGCTTCTAGCCAGAAATAAGGAGTATGTTGTTGTCATAGTTCGTCTAAGGGGACCTTTGTTGAGTTGTAATCTTGAACTGATAATTTCTTCTCTCTGGTGTAATGGCTTCTAACGCTTTGCGCTCACAGCTATGTGGTCTGCAAGACTGCCTATTGATCTCTGTTAAAGTGTCCCTATCCACTGGCTTTCAGTAATTGGTGAACTTTGATTTATAGGCATTCCGCAAACGGCTTTTGTCCATTCAATCATCAACGCTGGAATCGTGCAATCTGTGGCCGAAGCATGTCTGGGCCAAATCGAAGATTGCCCATGCAACAATCATGGTCGGGAGTCCTCCAGCTCAAATTGGCAGTGGCAAGGATGTGATCACAATATTCATTACGGGAGGAAGTTTTCCCGCAGATTGCTAGACTCAATGGAGAAGGGATCGCACATACGATTCCAAATGAATCTGCACAACAATAAAGTCGGAAGAACGGTAATAACCTGTCCCATAATCGCTGAAGTCGCTGCAAACGCCTAATCATACCAGTGTAACTTCTCGACTGTTATTCTGCATGGCTATAAGTAACTAATATGACTGGTGTACTTGAGTCCACTTGCTGGAAAATTTGCTCCATCACACAAATTGATAAATGCAGCCAATGGCGACTACCAAGTGCTGAGCGTTCCGCTGCTTACTTTGGAAATTGAGCGAAGAGTAGCCTTTTCGAGCTGAACATAAAACCTGCTAGCTGCTATCAGCCACAGGCTTAGGAAGGCAGAACCGCTACGCACATCATGGGGAGAGCTAAGTATAGTATTTAATGACAGATGGACTAACAGCTTCCATTCATTTCAGAAAGCTGTTGTTGCTGCGGTAATCGCCTTTTAACGAAAAGTATTCATAAACTAAGCGGTACAATAGATCATAAGTACATATCCTTGTAGAAAGTACATGCTTGCTTATCCTTTGCTCTTCCGCATATTTCAAGTCACCAACTTAGACGGACTTACATCACAACTGGTAACTCGGAGCTGTTAAACCCCCAACATTTGCTTTTGTTAGAGGCATAGAGGCATAATCAACCCGATTAACAAATGATTATATATCTTCAAGAGGTTGATTCCGGCGTCTACAGAAACAAACTGGGGTACCTGTGTTATATTCTTCAGAAAGCAACCCCATGATAGGTACCTGTGTACTATGTGCCGTGGACAAACTCAGTCCCAACTGTGAAACGCATAGAAAGCTGTAGCTATATGAGTTGGTCGCCAGTCTGAGTAAAGTGTGGTTTATATATGTAATATTGTCCAGTCAATCAGATGAATTTTTCCATCCCCTACTTCTAGATTGTCACAAGAAACATGGAACGATACTGTCGATGTCACGGGACAAGCGGCTCATGCTCTTTACGTACGTGCTATCGACGAACCCCACGAATGCGCACACTCGGAAACCTCCTAAAACAAATGTATGACCAGAATTTATTGATGATCTCTCCAGGTACGCACATACGGTTCTTCACGCAGGAAGGCAACATTGATTCACATCAAATACAGGAATATGACTTGTTTTCAGTTACCAAGGCATCCCATAAGACCTTCAGCTGTCTATGCGTATCAAAGTAGGATTCCAAATCTTTTTAATCCCAGGCTTAAGCTAGAATCTACTGCTTTTGTAGAGGCAGCAACTGTTATCCATACAGCCACTTTAAGACAGCAATGTCTATATAACCGAATTGCTTTTCGTTGTTTGTTATGATATTGCATTGAATTTGCTCAGCCTCTGCCGCGTTGTATACTTAGGTGACACCTCACAAGGGAAGGAAACTTTGTAAAGATAAAGAAGGGTTTTCCACACTCAATACAGCCGATCTGAAGCTTAGGATCAAACATTAATAGCAACTGGAACCAATGCAACGAGTATTATGTTGTTACTAGTTCTGCATAAATAAATATACGTTTGTTCTCATTGTTTACGAGGCTCAGTTGAATCGGCGCTATCAACCGATTCGATCGTTAGACAGTACATCGATTACAAGTTTATCGGAGGCGCGCAAAATTTGATGGAATATTTCAGAATTCCCAGTAACATAATGAAAACAGTTGTTACAGTATATCGGTTATCAGGTCGGAAATATTCTGTATGGTCGGCTTTTTTATATTAGACACATTGGTTGCGAAAGAAAATCAAAAGGTGGATTTTGGAGGTAGTCGTTTGCAACAATGTAGGTTCATCAAGACCTTTTATATAGTCGAGGTCATCAAAATGGTGACCGATCTCAACTACCATGGCGATAACCATGGAAGTTCTTCTAGTTGACAGAAGGGCACATACTCCAGTATCCTCGTGTGGTAGAGCAAGGATCGGCTACTTATAGATGGATCCAAGTATTCTCCAATGGTATGATCGGTGTCCGATCGAACATTCTCTGACAACAGCACGTCATAATTTACTTCGGAAATTCGACACTTTGTGCCACAGAAAGCCAACACAGCACCAACAGATGTTAGTTTTTCAGTATAGAAGAGGCTTAAACAAAAGCCAAGAAATCTTGTGGATAACAAGTGACATCTCATTTAAGCGGCTTATAGGCATATCAGTGTCAAAGTAAGACGAATCAGGGCTGGGGTTTCAACCAAGTAGCACACGCTAAATAAAACCATCTAACTGGATAATATACCCACATGAAGCACAAAACCTTTGAGGGCGTGTGTTAGCTGGTTATTCAAAAGCTGGACAAATATACAGTGCGCTTATACCAAAGTTGAGTCTGCCGGCAAACTTATTGTACTTCACACCATCATGGCTTCGCTGTTCACTAACTTCCGAATGAACGAGCGACACGCCGACATTATCGGTGCAAGGTAACCTTACGTACGTTCTCAGTTTCCACTGCCCTACCACACGCTCATTTCCAGTACAGCATGAGGTTAAGTTACACTTTCGCATGCCTACGCAGGAGAGCCTATGGTGTGCTGAGGCTGGTGGTCGTTAGATCCTGACAGATGATCGGCCCCTGCTGCTACTGTTGTGCCATGGCTTCATGTTCTGGACGCCTCGTGCGGAGCGCTGGGTGGGAGTTTGATTACGCCCTTCTTCTTGCTAAGATCCTGGACAACAATCCGCATAATGCAGTGAACTGACCACGTGCTAGACCCGCTGCCTCCCGGGTGTACATTTAATGGAAGATTGTGGCTGAGGACCGGATGCTTTCTCCTGTCAGGTGTGGGCGCCCTGGTAATATCCTAGTCCATCCTCTTCGAAGGATAGGAATAGGTGACGAACCCACTTCCCGCAAAACCTAGCCATGGGAGACAACAGGTCTATGGTTTATAAGCTCACAGTTCGTTTGGCGTAAAGCACGAGCGCCACGTATTGCCTCTGACGGTGGGAGGGCATCTTCGGGTGCTCAATGGTTTGCTACTGCCCGCCTCAAGACAAGCAACGCCTGGTCATATTGGTGCAAACCCGCCAAAACCCTCCTGCGTCTGGCCGTGGTCGCAGGTGCGTATCCTACTACGGTCGCAAAACGTAAATGAATCGTTCCAGTACCTCAAACGCTACGTGTGACGGACCTCAAGCAGATCTCAATCTGTTGTTGCCATCACATTCCCGAGTTGGATCTGCTCCCCACTGCCTTTTGAATCAGGCTATTGAGCCAAAAGTTCCGAGTGGAGTCCCTCAAGTAAAGCTCTGAAGCACAACCGTCACCTGGCGTGCGATTGCCTACCAATGCAATCGTATGCCTGCGGGCAACGCACTCAGCATCGCGTGCTGTAACGCGCGCATACTACAGGACCGGAACCCGAGTGAGCTCCACGAACGACGCACTACACTCATCGCAGTGGAACTGGCGCGCTACCACATCGATATTGCGGCGCTCTGTAAGACTGGACCCGCTGAGCAAGGTAAGTTGTATGAAGCAGGTGCTGGCTACACATTCTTCTGGGTGGCCAACGCCGCCTCAGCACCACGTGAACATAGGGTCGGATTTTCAGTATCCGATCGCCTCCATGGACAGCTAATGGGTGAACCAACGGGCATCAGCGCGCGACTGATGACTGTTCGCGTACGACTCGGAAGAGGTAAGTTTGCTGCTTTTGTAAGCACGTACGGTCCGACCATGTGTTATCCTGATGACACGCGTGCTCAATTCTATACTCAGCTATCCTCCGTGATACGGTCTGTGCCGAGGAGCGACCGACTATTTCTGCTGGGTGATTTCAACGCGCGCGTTGGGCGGGATGCGTCGGTGTGGGCAGACGTTGTCGGTTCGCATGGCATTGGTTCAGCGAATTCGAACGGCGACAGGCTGCTCTCATTGTGTTCCGCTCAAGGTCTGACTATCACGAACACTCGGTTTACACTGAGTGCGAGTAATATAGCAACTTGGACGCACCCACGGAGTGGTCACGCTCACCTGCTCGACTATGTCATCAGACGTCAGCGTGATATGCTTGAAGTGCGCATGACACGTGTACTGCGTGAAGCTGAGCGTGACGCTGCTCACGAGTTGGCGTACGCCAAACTGTACATATATTTTCGTAACTCTATGTATTGCACTTCCGCCGTGAATCGTTGTAAATTTACCACGCTCCCCTCGGTATTGTTGCGAAACGTATTGAGTTGGAGAAGGCGATGGCTGCACTCCTGTGTGATGTGGAATACATAGCCACATTGGGCTATCTGTGGCACCACGTGCGCGACCAGGTGACAGCTGCTGCCTTGGAGACCACCTGGCGCTCAAGCTATAAACGCCCCGATTGGTTTGATGAAAACAATGCGACGATTGGCGCATTGGTGTCAGAGAAGAATGCAGCATTTGCTGCACATGTATCCGACCCCAGTAACTTAGGGAAGAATAGAAGGTTTGGGCTAATTCGACGATGACTGACCGGAGAGCTCGGTCGCATCAAAAATGCATGGTGGACGGAGAAGGCGAAGCAGCTGGAATGCTATGCCGAAAGCCGCCAACACAAGAAATTCTTTGACTCCTTGAAGGCCGTGTATGGACCAAGCTTGAAGCTGCTGAGATTGTTACTCGATGCTACTGTAGGCACTGCCTACACATATACTGCAGACATAATGCAGATCTGACGGAATCACTTTGACTGTCTCTTGAACAACCGTTCAGAGATCGACTGGCCTACATTGAACGGCCTGAAGCAGCACGATGTGAAGGCGGATCTGGCGGATACGCCGACACTGGATGAGACGCAGAGATCACTTGCTCAGCTACAAAACGGCAAGTGTGCCGGAGCCGACGGGATCCCGCCTGAAGTATTGAAACACGGTGGACCCGCGTTGTTGACTGCGCTGCACCACTTGGTGCAACGCGTGTGGATTGAGGAGGAAGTGCCTCCTGAGCTGAAGGATGCCCTTGTGCTACCACTGTACAAGGGCAAAGGTAGCAAGCAATGTTGCACGAATTATCGTGGCATCAACTTGCTGAGTTGTGTGGGCAAGGTGATTGCCCGAATCCTGCTCAACCGCCTCGTCAGTCAGGTTGTGGAACCTAACATGGCGGAAGAGCAATGTGGATTCCGTTCGGGTCGCAGCACCATGCATATGGTGTTTGCGACTCGTCAACTGAAGAGAGCGACACCAGCCATTGTACTCGTTGTTTGTTGATTTCACCAAGGCGTTTGATACGGTGAACCGCGAGGCATTGTGACTGTTGTTGGTCAAGTTTCATTGTTCGAGCAACTTTGTAACTTTGATTGAATGTCTGAACAGTGGTATGCGGGCGAGGGTGCATCTGAGTGGAGAGACCTCGGATGACTATGTACTTGTCGCTGGCGTGAAGCAAGGCTGTGTCTTAGTTCCTATCCATTTTAATATTATTCTTTATACCATGATTTCTTGTGCGATTGATGCGGCTTGTGCCTACGGTGTTTGTGTGAAGAATAGCCTTGATGGTGCGTCGCTGAACATCCGTCGTTTCGGTGCGATGACCCTAGTCTGTGAGACAACTATCCGTATGTTGCAATTCGCTGACGACTGTGCGTTGTTTGCCCGCAGCGCTTATGAGTTGCAGCACATGACTAGTGCTCTGGTTTCGACAGCGACCACATTCGGGCTCACCATCAACACAAGCGAAACTGTCTGTCTCTTTCACCTTTCACCGGAGGCGCAATCTGCAATAGCGGGACGAATCTGCATTGGTGCTCTAGTATTAGCAACCACCTGCTTCTGCTACCTTGGAAGTGTGATGTCGACTGACCAGCAAATACACAGTGAGCTATGTATCCGACTATGGTAGGCGGTAGCGGCATTCGGGAAGTTCGTGTACGGAGTGTGGAACAACCAGCAGCTTACTGTCGGCACCTAGCTGATGGTGCACAGATCCGTGGTGCTATCCGTACCTCTATACGGCATCGAAACGTGGAGGATATACCAGCTATATTTGAGATATCTCGAGCGGTTCCATCAACAATGTTTGTAACGGATTCTGCGCAGCGGTTGGTACGACAGAGTTGCAGACACGGAGGAGCTGCACCGAAGTGGAATGTATGCAATGGACTGCATACTTTTGCTGAGACACTTGAAGTGGCTCGGTCATGTGAACTGTATAGATTAGACGCGGATACCAAATCAGATGTTATCTAGTCAGCTGAGTGTTGGGGAGCGGCTTGTGGGGAAACCGAAGCTTCGTCACCAGGACATGATCAAAGTGAGCCGATGACGTTCTAGTGTTGTTGGGAATCGAAAGCGGTTGCTCGACATGCATAGCGCGATCTGATCACGAAGGCAGTTGCCGAGGTGCAAGGGAGCCCTTTTGCATGCAGAGAAGAGGCGGCAAGTGCGGAAGCGACATGCGCCGATGAGCTGTACTCCATCGACCTTTCCGCACATGCGATCGCGAGTGCATGAGTCGGGCAGGCCTAGTGATTCACAAGCGAGGCCACTCGGAACCAACATTGGAAAAAGCGCCGGCTCCTGCTGTGACCGAAAGCAGAACCGGCGCAGCGTTTGTAGGTACGCTTCATTTGATTTGGTAACTCCATGCCTGCCTGCTGAGTTGCTTTAGTTAGATGCTGGGTTTGCTATCTTGTCTTAATGCTAATTATTTACCTCATTTTAATGCCTACCCGAATAAGCTATTTACTTGCACACTTCGCTTAAGCTAATTGGGGTTAACTTCGTTAATATTTCGCGTTTGTGGCATTTTTTAACTATCCCTGACATGTTGAACTTGGCGCGGATTTGTTGACAGCCAATTGAGTACGTATGTTAATTTAGTGTAGAGTTAATTTGACGTACCTATATGCTTTATTCGATCGGTTTTATTTGATATTTTTTAAGTGATTGGCTGTTGCTTGGCATCCTCGGTTTGGCTGTGCTTGATGCGCATGACTGCAAGGTGCCTACCTGTCTGGTATCCACCAACTCATCCAAACTGGCCTCCCCGTTGCTGGAGGGGACAGAGTGCACGGTCCTCGTGACCGTGCTAGTGTCGAAGACTGCTTCCATGCACTCAGTGTGGAGCGGACTACGGTGCAGCTATTGCCCTGTGTGTGTCTGATTCCCCAATTACATCGTGCATGTGTTTGCCTGTGAAGGAGTGTGGGTCGGCTCCGTTGATGAAAAGTGGCTTCTATCCACATGCCACCCGGTTGTATCCCTACGGGTTTACACTGGGTATGTGGTGTGTGGATGGAGATGTCGGTGGTACAACGCAAGCCAATCATGGTCCCTCTGTAGGCGCACACGTCCTGTGGATGTCCCAAGGAGGCCACAGTGACAAGCGAATTCGGAACCAGATAATGCCAACCATATTCAGTCACACGACAACCAAGCAGCAGGTGGCACTGAAAGGATTTTCACCGCTTCAAAGCATGCTATTTTTGTTCACTTCCCGCTTTCGGTGAGGAACATAAAAGCTTCCTTCCACAGCTCGCGAGGTTATGATTAATTCCAATGTGTCGTGAGGATGACTACCACATTCAAATACCAGTCTATTATTATTAACGGAGCTGAACATTAGGAAATCGCCCTTTGCTCCGTTTGGTGCATCGACCTCCGTTTGACTCTTAAAGAGGTTTTTATGCACCGTATGCTAACTATATATGGAGTAACATACTAGTTTTTCTATATTTTATGTACGCATACGGTTTAAGAAGATACTGGCATCAAAAACTGAACGCGGCCACATAACCCCCCTTATACAAAGCTGATATGGACTTAAAATCATCCCAACTTACAAGTTCTCGATTGGTTTCAATCTTATTTTGTATAAACTAATTCCACCTACGGACTTCGACCTTTTATGACCCTCATTTCTCGCGTTTTCTAATGAGAACTACGTTGATCATCGGTATATCACTCTTTCATGTTCACCTCAGAGCTGTCAACTCGAGCAAAGGACATGAAACTGAATCCTTCGCGGCGTACCCACAAGAGGCGCAGTAGCATTCGAGACGATGGTTTACGCTTCGCTGATGTAGGGAATCGTTATCCATACTCATTGAAAACCGGGACAGTATCTACGTGGAATAACTATCCTGGAAACTTACAGTTTTCGGGGTGGTCAAGATCGAATGCGAAGTGGCAAAATGTCGATAACAACGGAAGGTTGAACGAGACCCCTACTACCTCCCTTCATTTGGTGTACTATGAAAACGTTCCTCAAGAAACCTTTTGTGAAGCCAATCCGAAACTTCACATACTTGGTACGCATGGTAGAACGTGTAACTCGACGTCAGAAGGACCTGATAATTGTAAATCACTTTGTTGTGGCAGAGGCTTTGTCACTCGGCACTATTACGCTATGGAGTCGTGTCACTGTAAATTTATCTGGTGTTGCCGTGTCGAATGCCAACAATGTTTGGCACTAAATAAAGTTGAAACTTGCTTTTAAATTTGACCGCTCGGGGATAGAGTAGACGCATCAACGTTGTCCCCATGTAACTAACAAGCATCCTATATCATCCATCCTTTTGTAAGATGCTTTGTATACCATTGCAAAACGAACGTACTATTATATACCTTTTGCTCGCTTCTGCTTTCTCCTCATGTGAGCCAGGTGGATGAAAGAGAACGCGCATGCGTAGCGCGGAACCGTTTAATGAAATCTTCCTAAGTTACAGTGGCTAGAAATGTCGAAACGAGGAACCAATGAAATAGGGAAGGTAAGATGAGGTCATTGTCACACAATCAGGGAGCCACTATGTTCACGATCAGTGTTCAAACACATTCGTGTCACCACTTTCCTTCGGGTTAATACCAGTCACGTGGCTTAGGCGTGCATTTTTACTGTGGTGGTTTCGCATCCGTTAGGGGCTCTCTGTTTAGTGAGGCCAATTCCTCATCTGTTTTTGCGTCAGTCGCAGTCTATTGACCCAGCTCATGCAGCTCGATTGAGCGTGGACAGACATGGTTAAAGTTGCGCGCACCAAGCGGCCGCCATCCAGCCGTAGCTCACTTTGGTTACTAGTTAAGTTTTCCAACATACCTCGTTAGACTATCTTGTGTACATTGGATCAAGATCACTGGAACACATTTCCTCAGGCATCCTGTTATCCCAGTGGTTCCCAAAATTTTAAGGCCGTTGCCTATCAAGTGGGTTCGCTATAAGCCTTTAGCGTCCAAACTTTCCAAAGTCATGGAATGGAAATAGATGGATGTTGCTCTTCCAGCCACTGTCACTGTGTAAGTAGTAGGGGGGCAGCCCTGTCCTCTGCACATGCATAACATGCAAGACAGTGGAGGATGAGCCGCGCTACTTCGCAGTTAGATATCAGTCATGGCGGTCCGCTGCCGTCGCCCATGGCTCAGTGGCATAAGTCGCTGACTCGCAAGAGTAAGGTCGTGGGTTCGAAGCCGGCAGGATTCGGAGGGTGCGCGCTACTGACGAGTCCCAAAAGGACGAAACGGCCGTCTAGCGCTTTCCTGGATATGTGGTGGCCGTCTGTCTGTGTCTAACTGCGACGAATCAATACAAAAACTGTCACTGTAGTGTGCCAGTTTTGGGAAGAGGAACCCCCATCTATTTCCATTCCAGATTCGGTACTCGAGATCGGAATGACCGGGGTTTACCTCAAAGTAAACCGAGGTCTCTATATAGGTTGCGAGTTGCAACACAACCACACAGCGTGTTCCCAAAATTCTGCTTCGAACTGCTTTCAAGAGCTATAAATATATATATATATATATACATATATATATAAATATATATATATTTATATATATATATATATCTTAGCAGCAGTCTATAAGATAGACACAGAGCTAGCGAAAACCATGAAACGGAAGTAATAATTACATAGACCACAAAGAAAAGGATGTAAGTTACAAAAAAAGCTACTTTTGTTTTTGAATCTCGTCCATTTTTGTTTCTTTTTCACCCGCAGTTTTATCTCATTTTGTCTGTTCTATATTTACGATGTAAATTCAGAAGATCCAGACCAACAATTGTACACATTTCCCATTGGGCCCGGTTCTGTTCCATCTCCGAAAGAGTTTCCAGTCAGCGGTGTTCTTCATGTTTAATCCCCCAGCCCGGAAGATGCAGGGACCTAAGACAGCTAAACTGGAATTTAACGCTTTGCTCGTTTGTCGTGATAGGCTGAACACCGCACAATGTCTTCTAGTCTGGTCCTGTGCGAGCGAATATAGCGCGTCGGGGCAGCCGTTCGTATGGCAGGAATAAAGCTTGGCCCGCCCACCTCAGTTGGGGCAACGGTACCATTCTAACAAGTGGAAGTCCCGTGTTACCCAAGACGCGACGTCCAGCATCATCGTTACGCACGTAGTTCATCCATCACACTCGAGCTGTGATTTGCAGACATCCATTGTTAGAGGCCGAAATCCGACGCAACTCATTCATGTGAATCAGCCAGGCCTCACTCCCATACAGCAGCACCGCGCGAACACATACATTGCAGACGCCGCCCTTTACCAATAGTGAAATGTCGCGGTGTCGCCACAGATGCCTCAAGTTGGCGAAAGCCGAACGGGATTTGGCAGCGCGGGGTGAAATCTCTTTCCCAATGTTACCATCAGCAGAAACACAGCTTCCTAGGTAACCAAAGTTGGCCACATGTTCAAACTGCGTCCCTTGAAGAGTGAATACTGGGGCAGGTGGATGCCAATCCAACCTCAGGACTTTGCATTTCGTTTGGGCAAAGGTCATGTCAAATTTCATTGCCTCAATCGCCGTGCGGTTTAGAAAAGCCTGTGTGCTCTGTGCGTCATCACTAAGCAAAACAGTATCAGCAGCTTAAGCTAAATCGGTCACACGGTTGCCAGGAAGAAGCTCTACACCAAAAACCTGAAAACTCTCGAGATCGTTTAAAAGGACACGCTCGATCGCAAAATTGAAGAGAAACGGGACATGGGGCAACTAAGTTGTACAGCGCTAGTAACTGCAAAAGGTGAAGAGAGCTTACCATAAGCCCTCAATTTACTTGAGACATTACAATATAATGCTCGAAGGATGGCGATATACTTTTCGGGTACTCCATTCCTTTGTAAGCAACGCCATATATTTGCCCGATCGACTGAGACGAAAGCGGCTCGGATGTCCAGAATAACAACGATAGTGGGCAGACGTTAAAGCTGACGCGTTTCAAGGAGTTGATGAAGCGTAAACAAGTGGTCTATACACCCTCGACCGGGGCGAAAAACAGCCTGTTCTTAACGGGAGCGCAATTCGCGAAACGGGGTTATTCTGCTGCGCAAAAGGGATGTTAACAGCTTGAAGGAAACGGACATTAAACTGATTCCTCGTGGTTAACGCATGGGGTGCCGGCACCATTCTTGAAGATCGGGATGGTAATTAACTCGCCCCAAGCGGATGGGAATGTTTCTTCACACCAGAACTTAGAGGACAGACCTGTTAGCTGGTTGATAACTACATCGCCCCGGAACTTGAACAGCTCTGGAGGAAGTCCATCTGGGCCAACAGACTTGGGTTGCTTTAAGTGTCGGAGCTCAACGCATACCTTAGTTTCAGTGGGTGGTCCCAATGAGACGTTCCAAGGCGCGCAACTAGGTATACTCGTTAGGCTCGCCGGTGGACGAAGCCAGCTGATTTGAGTGCGGATTTGTGCTGCTCAACCGTCCATGAGTCTGTGTAAGTTGCTTGTAAGCATTCTGTCAGCCTCCTAAATGACCTAACTGACACGAGGTCTTTTGTGACCAGTGGCCCGAATGACCAGGAAGAGCTTGCGAAAGTTGCCAGAGTGGGCTGCCGTTTCCATCTCTGAGGCGCACTGGAACCACTACGCCTCGCGATCAGCATGCAGGCTTTGCTTAAGTTGTTCGCTGAGGATGCAATACATTGCACTGCTATTTGAATCGGTCGGGATGGCTCTACGACGATCAAACAATTCCAGTGTGTGTGTGTGTGTGTGTGTGTGTGTGGAAGTCCAGTTTCTCAGAGGGTGCCTTGTGATTTCGTAGGTTGAATGACTGGAAGTTAAAATCGCTTCGCGCAGGAAACGCCAATGCATTTCGATGTCTTGAGGTGGAGTACTAATGAGTGCATGCTATAAGGAAGCTTGAAAATTTGACCGAGTAGAGATCAGCTAACCTGATGGTGTCGAGCGGATGGATCTTTCGTTTTGTGGAACCGCCAAAGCGCATGCAAACGTCCGCGCAAACCAAAGCATGATCTGAATCTACGTGGACCAACTTGATCTAACATCCCGGACGCTGTCTGGCCATCTAAAGCTGATTGCAATTTGACCACGCTTGCATTGGTGAAGGAGAACACCAGGTGGCTGCACGTCTTCTGGTATGCCTAAAGTCTGTACTTAAGAGAAAGAGACGGTGATCTTCGCAAAACGTAAGATGTCCATCATCGTCGTCAGAACGACTCTCACCAAGCGCATGACTGCCACCAAGATGACGTTCGCACGAAAGTAGGTGACCTGATCGTGCATTGAGATCTCCGGCAAGGACGATGACGTCTGACTTTTCGCCCGTGTACTAAAGGTTGTAGTCCACGATAAAAACCATCCTTAACCAATACACAGCTGCATTCAGTTGGAGCCTAGGCAGAAACGACAAGGTAATTGCGCCTCTCCTCACGATGTCTGTTTATTCAACATGAGCCGTGAAGTCGAACCACACACGACCGGCTGACGATTGCAAACCAGTCAAGTAACGCAGCCTCCGCTTTGTCATTCAATACGATACCGACACAAGCTGAGCCGACTGCTGCTGCCTCCATGTTGTCAGACAGACGTAGGTAATATGTGGTTTCAAGAGTAGTCGGGGATGAGAAATTAACCACTGTGCTGGGATGAAGCAATCGAGTCGCTGAAAGGCAACGAACACCGAAGACGAGGGACTCTAGAGTGCGCGCCAGACCAGCCTGTTGTTCCATCTGTGAGATGGTCCAAACATTGAACCCTGCTAGACGGAATGAAGTATGGAGTCGAAGGATAGATGATGGCCGGAAGATCTGGTTACGAGCGAGAGGGCATTGGAAGTGAATTCAATAGGTTGTGGATTTCTGTCTTCGTCTCAGCAAGTCTGGCGTTAAATTTCAAATATTTATTGACCTCTCCTAACGCTGCGGGTGGCTTACTTCTTTTCATTGCCTGAAATATGCCCATAAAGATAGCAACCCACAGCTCAGCGAAGAAATTTCTTGCCGATATTCCTCATGAGGCTGATACATATATAAGGGGTTACAATTGTGATAGGCTAAAAGGGAAAGTCTAGGGTTGGTCAAGTCCAGACAGGCCAATTTGGTATTCGATCCCTTGTAATCGATTAAAAGAGCTAAGCTCACGCGTATATATACATGTTCATAATACATGTTCACAATACAACACACCACGGTTAAGCTGTCCGATGAAGTGAAAAGCTCAATTTCGAAGCTTGA